AACAAACCCCCCCCCCCCCCCCCCCCCCAAGTCATGTCCAATACTGCCGCACTCGGCTACTTACCGTTACGAGCAGTTGACGGATCGTACACGCCGTACAAACCGTGAGCAATGCTAACAGTCCCTGTTCTGAGCACATAAGGAGCGTGCATCTTTCAGGGCACAGTGTGTTACGGTTCGTACGCACCTAATGTTCTTTAGGCCCCCCTCAGAAAACCACACGGGTATACATCCTTCAACCCAGTCCTAGAATAACGTGAACCTGAGAAAATCTTGCTGTTATTCTCCGTTAGCACTCCCTTGAAAATTTGGACCTTTTTATAGAGATAGTGATTAATAAATTTACAAACTTGTTTTTAACAGACTGGGATTGTGGAGCACTCAATTTAGATTCGGCCTTATTCGCCGGCTACATTTTGCATACCTACTCTAGACTTAAGGCCCAAAAATTTCCATGGGCTCCCGTCATAAAGCTAACCTAGACCAGACTATGAGCTAAACTATGAAGCTGAAAAACTCTCATCGTAATTCTCTATTGCACGGTACTAATCAGAGTTTTCCATGTTAGGCCAAGTTTAAGGGTAGCTACTTCTATGCGCCATAATCTATCTCATTGATAAAATCAAAAATATGTCAGCCACGGCATTACCAAGCGATAAACAACCGGCTTTAGCTCACCCAAAAGATACGCTTGGATTGCAGGCTAACCTTTTACACCTTATCCCTAAATAATTGACTTCAAAACGCTACACAGCAGCGGCATACCCGACAGTTCATCATATATGGCAGAGCCGCCATAGGATCGTGCGAAAAATTAAATTAATTGAATTTATTGGCCAGTATCCCCCTTTCACACCGCTACTCGCTTGTCTCCAGGCACCAATATATAACTCCCTGCTCCCCACTATTAAACCAGGCTGGAAAAGCCTGTGGAAGGGGCAGTCGCAAAGTGGCCTTGAGTAGGAATATAGTAAATGATCTCTGCCCGTCAAATAGTCTTGCACGTTTATGTCGGATAAATACACTGTGCGCTGGCCTTTGTCATGGGTGGGTTAACGTATCCTTGACTGCTCCGATCCCATGGGCGGATCCAGGATTTTTTTTAGGAGGGGGTGCATTCGTCTCTTGATCTACTTCAACACCAATAAACCACATGGTTTTTTTTTTCCATTTTTAATTAGAAAACCGTAGGTCATCTCGGGGGGGGGGGG